CTTGAGGCCGAAAGCTGGACTCTGGGCCCTCGGCCTGCTCAGAGGGGCCGTGACCTGCACTCCGGAGTCCATGCACCATCAGGGCCGGCACTGGCCCCCATGGAGGAAAGCAAACCGAGGCTGAGCTACCATAAGCAGAGGCCCAAGTGCAGGTCGGGCGGGAACCCTTCACACCACCTCCCCCAGAGGGCGGTAAGAGGCCCCAGCCCAGGGAAGGGGCTGGCGGAAGGTCTCTCTCGCTGCTGGAACTGCGCCACTGCACTTTGACTTCTGTTCCTGGGGTGTGGCTGGCACAAGGACCCCAGACCCAGGGGTACCTGAGATCCTCCCCATTTCCAGGTCCCCGATCTGCAATGCACAGCAAAGCCGACTGGCCACAGACCCAGGATAACTCTGGGGCCCCGCTGCCGAAGCCGGGTGACAAGTACCCTGGACTGCAGCAGGGGTTTCAGCTTCCAGGCCGCCCCAGGCTCCCTTCTATCACAGATCGATATCACAGAGCGGTGGGGTGGCAGGAAGCTCCAGGCTAATTAGCTTCCCCACATCCCCGTGAGCCCAAACCTCCAGGGCAGAGGTTGCCCAGGTGGGGAGTGATCAAGGTGTGGTATGGGCCAGGGCTCCCCAGAGAAGCAGAGCCAAGAAGACAGACACAGAGGCACAGAGGAAAGAGACGCCGTGAGAAGGACTGGTTAGCAGGGTGATGGGGCTGAGAGGTCTCGGACCTTCGCCTGCAAGATGAGACCCAGGGAGCGGGCGTGTAGATTCTAGGCCACGCCAGAAGTTGTAAGGACTTGAGAAGGTGAGTGTCCCAGATCAAGTGGAGGGCCAGGGCCAGTTCACGCCACCATCGTCCTGGCCTACCCAGTTTGTCAGCGCTGGGGCCAAGTACTTGACACCCACCACCTAAAGGAGGAGAGGGTGAATGTGGCTCACGGTTTCAGGGGATTCAGTCCATGGTCAGCTGCTCCAAAACAGGATCATCATGGCAGAAGGACGGTGGGGAGCAAAGCCGCTCAGTGCATGGTGGCCAGGAAGCAGAGCAGGGTAAGAGCACCAAAGAGGAAAGGAAGGCACCAGATATGGACCCCAAGGTCACCCTCCATGACCACGTGGACACACTCAGAGGTGGGCTTTACTACTCCCTGGGCAGCTCTCAAGCCAACAAGGCTGGCAGTCCAGGTTCCTGTCACATGGACACCCAAGGGGTCCAGGCTGAGTGTCACATATACTTGGGTCGCAGTGTAGAGTCTGACATGTTGGAACCATTACCCCCGGACGGGTCACTGAGCCTTCTGGACCTTGTGCGCTCCCCTGTAAAATGGAACCCCAGCTGTCACCTGCCTACTGTGGAGAGTTTCCAAGGAGACAGAGAAGACACACAGGCGGGTGTCACACTCAGTGTCACCATCCCTGTGGGTGTCCTGCTGCGGAACTCCACCCAGAGCTAGAGGACAGAAAAGACTTCAGCATGAGTCCTTCACGCTTCCTAAATATCAGAGGCTGTGATAACCAGAGCTCCTGGGAGAGAAGAGTTATGGAACTGGTGTAGCCACAAATCACCCACTTACGAGGACAGACATAGTAAGTCATTAACGCGAGCACCATCTGCAGCAATGCTTCCCAGGGAATCAAGCCCCTAGGACTCGGTTCTAAATAACTCCATCCTCCACCGGAATAAGCCAACGCTGTGGGCCAGAATTAAGTCCTGGCTGGAGGTGAGCATCCGAACACCTGCAGATGGCTAAAGGAAAGTGGCTCCTGTCTGGCTTTTAAAATAAAAATCGAATCATCACAAAAATTGATCCCCTATGTTAAGGAAACAAAGGCATAAGAGGAAGAGAGCACACCGATGTACGAAGCATCCCATAATCCTCGAGGCAGGCCCCTCAGATCAGCACAATTTACACGTGGGGAAACTGAGTCCCAAAGAAGACAGGGGACTTGCTTTGAGCTCACAGAGCCAGAAGCAAGAACCGCAGCCTGGCACCGGGCAGAACTGGAAGGAGGTATGGGCTCATCCTGGCTGGGGTGACCGGACATCACCCGGTGCATTCTGGGCAACAGGATGCATGGATCAGGCTTCTGCGTGATGAGAGCTGGGGCGAATGAACTGCAGATCGCAGGAGAGGTGGGGAGGGCGACGCTGGACTGCGAGCAGCCTCAGGTGACAGCCCAGCCACACAGGAGGGCAAGAGCTTCTCGGGGGCAGCTGAGGCCTGGGGCTGAGCCAAGCACGAAGGTTGGAAGGAAAGGGCTGCCCGTCCTGGGATGGCTTCGGTCCAGCTCAGCAGGACGCAGGGTGGAGAGGAGAGGAGATGCACGGTGGCTGGCAGCTCGGCATCTGCTGTAAGCCTCGCGCAGCGGGGTTCACCGGCACAGGGAGGGGGAGCACCCGCACGCAGCACCACCCCAAGTCTCCGCGTCACCGGGGGAGGGCGCCAGGCAGGCAAGCAGCACACACCCAGCGGCTAATTCCCAGCCAGCCCTCGTCCAAAATGAGTCAGTCAAGGCTGGCCTTTTCTTTTTGCATGGTACCAGACTGAATCCTGGGCCTCTGCACTGACTACATTGCCAGGCTGCTTTTTTTTTTAAATTTAGAAACAGGGTCAGGCTAAGTCGCGAAGTTGCCCAGGCTGCACTCAAACTTCCGATCCTCCTGCTTCGGCTTCCCAGAGTGCTAGGATCACATGCATGCACTACAGTGCCCAGCTCTGCTCAAGGTGTGGAAGGCAGGGCCCTATCATCTGTGGTGACGACCCGAGGATGGCAGGTGGCCCCAAGGACAGGTGGCTAAGCTTCTGCAACCCCAAGAGGCACTGGGACAAGCACCTCCGCCACGTACTACTCAGCCCCAAATGGGCCTGGGAAACAGGGCCCTGGGTAAAGAGAGGGGGAGCCAGCACACCCGACCCAGCCATGGACAAGTCACCTTCCGGGCCCTGTTTATCCTCAGTACTAGGGATCGGACCCAGGGAGAGCTGAGCCACATTCCCAGCCCTTTCTAAATTTTATTTTGAGACAGGGTCTTGCTAAGTTGCCCAGGCTGGGCTGAAGCTTGAGATCCTCCTGCCTCAGCCTCATGCCTGGCAGGCACTACAATCTTCTTGCCTGTAACATAATTAGGGCCTTCAGGCTGGGGCTGAAAAACAAGCACATTTAAGAGGCGCTGGGGAGGGCCCATCTGAAAGGAAAACCCCGCGTGAGAAGCAGGACTTCCAGGCCACTCGGGGTTCACAATCCAGTGACCCCCAACAAAACCGGCCCCTGCAGGCATAAAGCAAGGAAACCAAGGCAGAGGGGAAGTGACTTCCTCTCCCAAGGCCCCCACCCGCAAGTTCTGGACGATCCTGAATCTGGGCTTCAGGGGCCTCCGGACCCCAGCCCAGGCCAGGGGAGCCCTGCAGGACCCCGCAGAGCACAGGACACAGCTTGGCTGCCATGGCAACCACACCCCTAACAACTCTGGCATCAACATCACAATGCACCGGTGTTTGCATTTAATTTCTTTTCATTGGCTTTTCCAGGACAGCGGTCCAGGTCTCACCTTCCTAACAGGGTCAGAGAGCTCCCTTGCCAGCAAGGTACTGCCACCTTCGACTTCCACTTCCTCACTTCCTGGCAGGATGCAGCTCAGGGCTCTCACCGGGTCCTGAGGCAACAAGGGATCAGCCAAGGAAGGGACAGTGGGCCTCACCCCCATCAGACCTGAGAAGGGGCCCGAAGTGGAACAGAGACAACGGGACAGGTTTGGTCCCTGCAGTCCAGGGCTCCACCTACCACGACGAAAAACCTACTTTTCAGAAAATGCCAGCCTCTAAGACGTCCCCGACAGGGGTGTTGGGTAGGTACAAAGTGCAGAGGGGACACCAGGAAAAGCAGATCAGCTGCGTGAGAGGAACTTGCTCTTTGATTGTTTTTGTTTTTTGAGACAGGATCTTACTATGTAGTTCAGCCTGGCCTTGAGCTCACAGCGATCCTCCTGCCTCAGCCTCCCGAGTGTTGGGAGGACAGGTGTGCGCCACCGAGCCTGGGGTCAGCCTGCTTTTTGAAGGAGGTGGGTGTCTACCAGGTACAGGTGGGGAGAGGGAGCCTCCAACAGACATCCATGATGTCTGCCGGTGGGCGAGGTCTTAACCTCAGTGACCTCAACTGAGTGGCCAGCTGGCCAGGATGGGGCACAGGAAGTAGGAGAGGGGCCTGCCCCACACAGGTCTGAGCCAGCCCTGGTCCACACAGGGGACTTGGGAATGACACATTCTGGCTTTGACAACCTATTCACTGCAAACAACATACAACCTGGCAAGCAGGGGCTTAGACAAGAAAGGCCTTTCTTTGTGTCACAGAAGGAAAGAGCAGGGGCCTGAGGTCTAGGGCTCAGGCAGTGATTCAAGAGCCCATCAAGGATCTGGTCTTCTGCTTCATTGTCCTGAGCATGTCAATTGCAACCTCATGGTCACAAGAGGGCTGCCCTACTTCCTGAAATTACATAGGCTTTCCAGGCAGGGAGAAGATGGATGGGCCAAAGCCTGCCTTGGGAGTTCGGCTCTTTATTTAGAAAGGGAAGCCCTTGCACTTGGCCTTGAACTAATACATCATGGCCAAAACTCTCTGGCTTCCCCTGGCTGGGAGGTCAGGGTTTTCGCTGTCCAGCCTTCTGGGAGAAAAGCTTTTGCACCTGCTGTTCCCGTGCTGCTGTTCCTCCTTGTGCTCCCAGGGGGCCAGTGCCCTCGTTTCTCTGCTAAGTCACCTTTCCTTGGCTTCCTCTGACCCCTCAAGTAAGACTGCACTCTCCACATGCCTAAGAGAAATGAAACCAGGTGACACTTTGCACACAAGTGCTCCTAGCACCATATCCCATAATAACCCAAAGCAGAAACAGCCCAAATGCTTATCCCAGATAAATAAACCAAAATGTGGGCTACTTGAGTGGGGGAATAGTATATAGTTGTGAAAAAGCAGAAGTATGGATACAGGCTACGACTAGGCAGAACTTTGAATACCTTATGCTCAGCACAGTGGCCACATGCAGAAGGCACTGAGTCCGTGGTTCCATTCACCCTCCAAAGTCCAGACAGGCAAATCCAGAGGTTTCCTGGGCTGAGGAGGACAAGAGAGATCAGGGAGGGACTGCTAACAGCGATACGATTTGGGGGGGGGGCAGTGTCACAGTTTAGATCTAGAATGTCCCTATCCTGCGTGTGATGGTGATGGATCAGGGGGCGCTGTGCTCCTCAGTGGATCCATCATGGGTGAGTTCAGGGCTGAAGGTGCTGTAGGAGGTGGTCCTGGATGGAGGAGGTCACTGGGGGGAGACCTGGAAGGGTGAGGTCTTCCCCCCAGCTCCTCCCTCCGCTCTCTGTTGCTATGGGGTGAGCAGCTCTCCTCCACCAGGGCCCTCTGCCATCCTGCTTCTGGCTTGGAGCCAAATGACCATGGACTGAAGTGTCAGATATGACAGGGTCTCTTTAGGTAGCCCAGGCTGGTGTTGAACTCACTATGTAGCCCAGGCTGGCCTGGAACTTACAGTGATCCTCCTGCCTCAGCCTTCTGAGTACTGTGATTACAGTGTGTGCCCCACACCTGGCTGAACTGTATATTTTTATTTTTATTTTTTAATTTTTTTTTTTGTATCAGGGATCGAACTTGGAACCTTGCACTTGCAAGACGGGCACCAGAACACCGAGCTAAATCCCCGGCCCATGTGGACCATATCTTAACATTAAAAAAATTTTTTTCCCTAAAAATAAAAATTCCACCTCTTACCTGTCCAGCTACTGAACACCCCACTTCCCCTCATTTCCCCGCTTTGCCATTTCTAAGTCTCACTACTTACACACAGAAGTGACAGCTTTCTCCCTGTCAGCGCTCCCGGCCAGAAGCTGAGCCTGAGAAACAGGGACCCGACTTTGGGAAGGATGGGGGAGGGACGGGAGATGGTCAAGGGGCAGGCTGGGGCCCTGATGGACCCGTCGTCCCCCGGAGGGCTCAGGGCTCGGAGCCCCAGGCTCCGCTTCTGCACAGAGGGAGAGCAGAGCACAGCGTCCTGGCCCGTCTCCAAGGCAAGTGGCTGCGGGTGGGAGGGGGGTGCTTCCGGGAGCAGGCGGAGCAGGCTGGGAGCTGGAAGGGCCGGGGGTCAGAGCCCCTCTCTGCCAGGCTCGCTGGGAACCTGGACACCTTCTTCCTTCCTCATCCCTCACGACCTAAGCCCCACGGAGCGTCACGAGTGCCCAGGACTGGCACCGCGGCCAGGTGCTGGGCGGATTCCGGACGAGTCCTGGGAATCTCCACCCCGGGGCCAGCCCCGCGTCCTGGCGCAGTGACCCGGAGCCGCTCACTAAGTCCGCGCTATGGGGCCGGGCCGGCGGTGCAGAACACGTGTTTCTAATCCGAGAACTCGGTGCCGGCCTCGGCTGCCCAGGATGTGACAGCAGGTCACTCCCGCCCTGGGGGACGGAGGCGGCCGCCTGAGCTCCCGGGCTTCGAGCGGATGCGAATGTTTTCCCATTTCCTCAGTGAAGCTCTGGGCCTGACATCTTGAAGGAGGGAAATGAAAACACAGGCTGACCGCGAGCAGAGGAAGGAACAGAGCTGAAGGCTCAGAATGCAAGTTTCCAAATGAGACGCCAGAAAGGAGCTTGTGAGGCAGTGCACGCCTGTCATCCCAGGACTCTAGGAGGCTGAGGCAGGAGGATCCCAAGTTGGAGCTCAGCCTGAGCAACTTAGCAAGATCCTGCCTCAAAGTGAAAAAATATGGGGGAGGCGTGTTGTACTTCAGTGCAAAGGCCCTATGTTCAATCCCCAGTACTAAAACAAAAGAAAGAAAGAAAAGAAAAGAAAAAAAGAAAGATACTTGATCCTCAAATGAGACTTGAGAAAAACCACTGTCTCTAAGTCCCAGGTACCTGAGACCTGGCTTGGTCTCCTCTCTCCAACACGGCATCCAGCTGTCCCACCTCCACTGCACCCCCAGCTGGGTCTGTCCCGCTCCATGTCCCCCATATCATGCTCGGTCCCCAACTTCCTTCCACACCACGGGCAGCCTCCTTGGGCTGGTGACCAGGCCCTCGGAGCCCCCAGCACTGACCAGCTGCCGCCCTCGGAATGCAGTAGCCCCTGCCTCCCCAAGCCTCACCCGGGGGAGGGAGAGCAACCACCCCAGGGGGAGCAGAAGGTGAGATGCCGCCTCAGGCATGGTGGGAGCAGGCGGATGAAGCACTGTGCCACCTTCAGAAAACGCCCCTGAGCCAGGCGTGGTGGTGCACACTCGTGACCCTAGCACTCAGGGGGCTGGGGTAGGAGGGTCGGTTAAGGCCAGCCAGAACAATACAGTGAGACCCTGACTCAAAACAAAGCAAGAAGGCATGGTGCCACCCACCTGTAATCCCAGCACTTGGGAGGCTGAGGCAGGAGGATCACTGGGAGTTCAAGGCCAGCCTGCACTACATAGCAAGAACTTGTCTCAAAAAATCAAAAGAAAAACAAACAAACAAACACCAAACCAAAACAAAACACCTGCGAATAACAGATAAGTAGCTGAGGCATGAGCCATCCAACAGGATACAGGCTGCAGGGACAGCCATGGAGGGTCTCACCTGCAGACTGACAGGGAGTCACCGGCAGACACGCCCAGGTCCTTCTCAGAGTCACACAGTCTTAGGTTGTTACAGTTTTGATCTGAAATCTGGCCCCCCCCCAAACCCAGATGCTAAATGCTTAGCAGCCTGTGCTGGTCTTGGAAGGTGTTGGGACCTTTAAGAGACGTGGCCTCATGGGAAGACAAGAGGTAATTGGGGTGTGGGCTTGACGGGGACCCATCTCTTCCTGTTTCTATTTTTACTTCCTGGCCACCATAAGGTGAGCAGCTCCCTCTGCCATGTGTCCCCACCACCATACCATGATGCCCTGAGCCACCACAAGCCCAGAGCAACAGGGTTAGGGTACCATAGACTAAACCTGGGGCCCTCAAGGCAGGGCACCCTCAGTCTTGCTCCAGCCTGGCTGGCAGCAGGTGACTGCTGGGCTAGAGTGTGCGATTCTAAAGGCCAACGATTGTCCCTGCCAAGCTGGCATCCCTGGCTTTATGAAGAGCCTTTGTTGTTGTTTTTGATAGATGGTCTCACGCATGGAAGTGTTTCTGGCAGAAGGAGGGCGGGAGAGATGGTGTAAATAATTAAACAAAAACAGAACCAAGCACTGATTATGCCAGAAATCACTGTCTGTGTCGGCTGCAGTGTCTGACCTTTGTCTAGAAAAATGCACACGTACTTTTTCAAGAAATATCACTTTAAAGTGTACTGCTTCTCCAGGACCACCGGGGTACCCAGGAAACCACAGACACACCTGGTCTCCACGGCAACCCACCTTCGGTCTCCAGTGATCGGCAAGCAGCTTCCTGCCTGGGTGTTGGATGTGGAATTACCCAAGGACCTGGGTAAGAACATTGGGAAGAACGAGCTCTGAACCTGGAAGCCATATTCATTCTTTTAAATTTAGCTTCCTTATGGAGAAGATCCTGAAAGTATGGTACCAGACGCGATGGAATTTCGCTGAGAACTGCAATTTTCTTTCTCCACATCATAAATACCGACAGTGCACTATAAAGATGTGGTTCGTTAACTGTCGGATCTACACTGAGCTGGTGGCAGAGGCAGGCTGGGGTTCCCCACATTTTACAGCAGTGTTATCTGCCTGGAGGCTGCCCAGCGCCCCGCTTCCCTCTCCCTCGTCCACCCTGAAATTAATCTTTCATTTCAGCCGATTTCTCTAACAGCCTCCTCTGCTGACCTGTCCACTGCTGCTGACTCAATATCCTGCATGGAGCCAGATTAGACCTCTGAAATATGTCGGGGAATAATAGCCCTGGGAAGGGGGCCACCAAAAGACAAGCACGACAGGCACGACGCTAACGAGGGACCCGATGACCCTGCTTCCCAGTCGAGCCAGCGGCAAGTGGTGGCTGAGTCACCTCCGAATGCGCACTGAAGGGAGCAAGTCCTCTCTCGGGGGTTGCACAGAAGCAGCAATGATGATGACGGTGAAGGAACTGGGAAGCTTATCTGCAAACACGGAGCTAGCGCTGGGTGTGGTGGTGCAGGCCTGTGAGCCTAGCACTGAGGGAGGCCGAGGCAGGAGGATGGAGAGAGCGTGCAAGCCCAGCCTGGGCACCCTACCAGTGACTTGGTAAGACCCTGTCTCAAAACAAAAAATAAAAAAGGGGCAGGCATGTACCTCAGTGTGAGGCCCTGGGTTCAATCCCTAGCACTGCAAAAACAAAACAGGCCAAACGAACAAACACAGCTAGAACACACTGGCTGGGTGGACAGGAAGGAGCTAATTCCTGAGACAGCAACAATGACAGTGACGCGAGGGGCTGGTGGCGCCAGGACCCAAGGTATCTGAGCGTGGTGGTGCACACCCTTGGTCACAGCACTCATGAGGCTGAGGCCTTGCAGTCAAGGCCAGCCTGGACTACATAGGGAGACCTGTCTCAAAAACAAACAACAGCAACAAGCCAGAGCTGCAAAGCCTCCTTCCAAGTCATGAAACAGGGGACGCCCAGATTCAAGCAAACAAAAAGAGACCCATTGTGGGAGGTGAGCAGACTGCCCTCTGCCCTCTGCCACCCTAAACGCTGCGTTTCTCGGAGGACTCGGAACATTTTTCTTTCTACCCAGTTTGGGCATTTGCTCAGTGTTGAATTCAGATTCTGGTAAGAGGTGCTAAGGATGTTTTAGGATAAATTCCCATTGATTCCAGGGATCACAGGTCTGGAAGTGGCAGGCTTCAGCTGGTATGAGGCTGCAGAGGAAATCCAGGAGCAAATTAAGAGGATGAGGTCTAGGGATTTAGCTCAGTGGTGCCACTGCCTGCCTCACAAGCACAAGGTCACAAGTTCGATCCCTGGTAACAACAACAAAAAAAGAATTAAGAGGATGAGCAAAGTATGAGGGTGCCTGGGCTTCTTCTTAAATCATTTTTCTTTCTAACTGGAGAAGTAATACATGGCCACTGGAAAATTCAGAATGCACAGAAATACGAAAAAGCAGGGAACAGAAATCCCCTGCAATCTGGGCCACCTTCTACCGCGACGGACGACG